TGTAGTTGACATGCGGTGGAAGCCAGTAAATGCTGTAAGACAAGAAGTGAAAGAGGAAGAGGAGCTACACAGAGGGAGAGCATCAGCGTCCAAGACAGCTGCAGGATTGTGGCTGTATGCCCTGTGTGTATTCTCCTGAGGGCTGGCACTGACACCATGAAGCCTGCTGTCCTGGCTGGAGTGGCTTGGGCCTGCCTGCTGACAGGGAGACACACAGAGGAGGGGTACCCAGGGCACAGAGGAGTCGCCCAATACTCAGAATGTTGTGTGACTAATGTGTCTCTCCAGTGTCCATCTGCTACTGGGCCCCTCTCATGCTCACGTCTCCAGAGCTTCACTGTAGCTCTTCTGTTAACCCTGAAAACTCTCTTCTTCTCCTCTCACATTTCTAATTAATATCTGTATCCTATGTTATTAGTAACTACTAGCTGGTTTTCAGTAGTTTTAACTTGTAATCAATGTTTTCATATTAATGGATCAAAATGACTGTGTATGATGAAGCATGTTGTTTGTAGTGACAAAGCTACCACCCAACTTTACAGTTCCCCTTTAGCTTTCAAACATTTTTTAAGCTCTTTTTTTCTGGCTCCCAGCTTTACTGTTTAGATTTTTAATAACTAGGCTTTGAATTTTTGCATTTACAGAGTCTGACCTTACAAACAGCTGGTGTGTCTGGGTCCTGTTTGTTTGAATGTGTTGACTGGCTTTCACAACAGGATTTACTGTTATATTTACACATTTTTCCTGTACAGAATGAGCTATGTGCATTTTTACATTCTGCACTGAAATACAGTTCATGTAAACTATTATCAGAAACCAGGGCCATGCTTCCTATCATATAATGTTGAGGAATTTAACATTGCAGTGATCTTTAAAGTCTAGTTTCACTTTCTTTTATAAATGACATACAGTTGTGTGTGTGTGTGTGTGTGCGCTATGACCTTTAAATGCAGTGTTGAAGTTTCACAGCACCCACATGTAGAGCAGTTTAGTACAATACTAGCAGCTGCTCATACTGAGTTTGGTATTTGAAGGTTGTTGCATTGTGACAAAAAAGCAGTTTTGAGTGTTGTAGATACAATAGAGACAAAATGCAGCAGTGGGAATCTAAAGCCCACTGAATCTAAGCGTAGGTGGTTCATTTTTACTGTTTCAGCGTAGGCCGCCAAAGAGGTCAAATGTTTTGTGAATGGTTGTGCAATAAAACACAGACCTTTTCAGATCATGCAAAGTAAAAATTGTGTACATTTTTGTAACCAAAAATCTTAAAGCTACTGACTGGAGATATTTATCTATTTCATTTATTGTGTCTTTTTCAGAAGAAATTGTAAAGAAATGTTTTTAATGTGCAGGACTACTTTTGTACTGAAAATGGTTATTTTCAGTGATTCCCAAACTAACTGTCTCAAGAACAGAGTAGATCAAGACACTTGTGCACAAAGTCTTTGTCAGTGACATGGTACATAGAATCCAAATTTGATGAACATCTTAAAGCTTTCTTAAAGCTGTAGTCATTTGTTTTTAGTTGTTTTAGGGGAAGCTGAAGCAGAAAATACAACATTGACATTATCTTAAAAGTTTGTTGAACTTGACATGTTAGCAACAAATTGCCTGTTATGAGGCTATTCATGCTTTCAGTGTCCGCATGTCTGCATGTCGAGTGATGTCATTTTCGTCATTTTCCCAGGTTCACAAGGGTCAGGCCAGACGTTTATGTCCACGCGGAAGGCACAGCAAATACCCTGACTGTGCATGAACCACAATGCTTGGAAACCGTAGGCGTACACGGACAGAAGGCAGGCCCTCAATTTGAAGTATGAATACAAAAGCGGCCACGTTCGTGTGCACATGAGGAAGCAAAGCATAAATTCCCCTTAACACATCAAGCAGCAAGGGGAATGTGAGCCATTTTAGCTTTGTTTCAATATGCGCCAATTTTTGAGGGAAATATCTGGTTCTTTAGGTGTTAAATGTGCTGCCATATTCACCGGCTACTGGCTAACTTTGTAGTTTGGTGCTTGGCAAGTAGTTTACAGTGGGTTTGATCCCTAACTGCTTTCAGTAGCTGCAAATAATGTCAGGGGCAGGCCAGAAAACCCACACCTTGTGATAATTTTTTTTCAAGTGCACCATGAGTGACTCCTGTCATATTACATGTAGATATTTGATCTATTTTTTTATATAAAATACTGATAAGTGTAGCTTTAAATCTCACAAAGACTCACCCCAGTAGGATTTAAAAAGCAGTTGAAAAGTATGTTTCAGCTCTACTACTGGCACACTGTCACACACACCTTTAATCTTTAAAGCAAAGTAGCAGATTTAGTTTTATATCAGGTTTGTTCGGCTGCACCTGCCTCCCTCGTCTCCCTCTCTCCCTTTCTGCCCCGTCTCACTCCTTAGGACATTCCACACAGTCACTGATTTACACCAGCTGCGTCCACTCATCACCCTCTCCACCGTATTTATACCCAGCTCACACGCCTCTCCCCTGCCAGTTCGTTCTCTGTTTTCAGGCAAACTATTACGCTACGTCTTTTCCCAGTCATTGTTCTCTTAGTACGCTTTGTCCGGTTTTCTTTTGTGAGTTTGTGTCTATGTTTTCACCTGGATTTATTACCTGCCATCCCCGAATCTCTCTCTTGTCTCTTTAGTTCGGATGTTTGTTTTGTTCTACTTCGTGTTTCCTCTGGGACTGTTTATTTCTGCCAGTTGTTAGTCCCTCGCTACACCCAGCCAGCCCCTTCTCTCTGCTTTCCTTCGCACCCTCACCACCCCAGGGAGGTGCGATTGTAACAGCTTTATAGTTTCATATAATCTTAATTGTTTACAATATTTTGAGTATATGCACAGACAGCAGAGAATTGGGATACACTGCAGGAGTGCTTTGGAAAGTTTCTATGTATGTTTCAAGACACTTTTACCTGCCATTACAACCTTTCTTTGGATCTAAGATGATGACAACCCCTCCTATCTCTGACAAATGATACAGTTGCTTCAAAAAGTATTTAGTGCCTTTTATTTTTTTGCACACTGGTTGTAAATTTAATTTTAAATTGATAGAATTTCTATACAATCAACAACCTATCAGGACTAGTGAAAATGTTCTTTATAAAGGCATTCTAATGTATTAAAAATAAAAAACTGAAGGTATTCAGACACTGTGTTTTGACCCACCAAACTGGTCATGTGCACCCTGTTTGCTTTCATTTTCCTTGTGGAGAGACCTGATAACAGGAAGATTAGGATAAACTGCCCAAATCCAGGTGTGCAAAGCTTGTAGAGACTTACCCAAGAAGACCCAAAGCCATGATTGCTGCCAAAACAAGCTTCTGCTAAGTACAGAATTTCAGCTTTTGATTTCTTTTATACATTTGAAAAAATATGCTTTCATTATCATTATGAGGTATTAAGTGTAGACAGGCGGCAAAATTTATTTAAAATAAATCTACAACACAGAAAACTGCAAAAATCGAAGGGATCTGAATAGTTTCCACTGTGCTTAAATTTAGCACACAAAATTGCATTGACAAACACACTCATGCTTGGTGTAGAGAAAACAATTTTTGCTGCTAGTGCTCAACCATATAGGCCACTGGATGAATGAATCCTTGTGTGAATGGAAAACTACTTGGGGAGGGCAGGAGGGATGAGGGAAAGAAAGCAAGGGTGTTCAGTTGGAGAGGAAACGGAAACGAGGGTGAATAGAATAAAGAGAGAACCAGAGGACAAACTCCAGTAAAACAAGCAGATCCTGTTCATTACACATGCCCATGAGTTTAAGTCAATGGATGTTTTCTTGCAGCCTTGCAGTGTTTTCCCCCAGGTGCTAAAAAATCCATGAGCTGAACTCAAGTGTGTGGATGGGGTTAAAATGCATCCTGCTGCTTTACATGCTTCAGTTTCATGTGTCTGTCAAGTGAAATTGTGTTAAAATTAGCCAGGCAGACACGCACGCCCAGTATACTCACACTAACATACACTTCACACCACAGGCTTGTGCAGGCTGTAGCAGGGGACAGTGCATGGGAAGTGTGAACAGTAGAAGACCAGACAAAATGACATGTGCTTGCCCAGGAGCTGGCACTGTAATTGTGTGTGTATGTATGTTGTCTGTGTGTGCATATGCTGGTTTGTGACTGTGGTGTGTACTCTGCCAACCCTGCTGTTTACCATGTGGGATTTTAGAGGAATTGTAGGCAGCTGGCAAGCCCTTTACTTTCCTTTTTTTCCTTTTTAAATCTGCTAGTGGCTGTGTTTAGGCTGTCTGTCTGTCTCTGATTCACTTGTTCCACTCCTGTGCATGAGGATTTGATGTTGGGCTACTACAATGGTTTAATAAAATAGACAATTTCCTACATGAAAAGAAGTTATAATTTCCCTCTAGCAGCTGGGATCCAGGCCTACAACATGCTGATCAGAACTTAAAGCTTCACCACAAAATATCTCTTGGTAAAAACAAGTTTATTATCAGCATAAATCACAAGATGGGCTGCAGAGAGACGAGAGTGTCCTGTTTTCATTATATTTGTGCTGCTTTCTGAAATGAAAATCTGGGTTGTGGTGATCGCATTGTGCATTGAACATCAGAACTTAAATCCAAAATCCAAATGGCAGTGAGCAGTACACCATGCAGAGAAAACTGAACTCACTAACAACAGAATTGTTCCTCAAGTTTTCATACTGTTGTAGGAGAAAATTAACTTGTTGACTGTGCTTCTATGACTCGACAACATGCAACAGTATTCAAACAGCTGTTCCCAATGCTGTTGCAGACTGTTATTGACTCCCTTTTGAAATAAAAAAAGTGATTTCATTTTGTGCAAGTCCTTTACTTTGACTTGTGTTTCCTGGAAGTAAAAATGTTCTGTTCATGTTGTGTTGGCTAACCAATCATGGCTTGGTTAGCCACAAATGTTTGCACATATAGGAAGAATTGAGCTTTAAACAGTCTGAACTTTAGCAACCAGTACAACCTGTCTCTTTGTTTTTCATTTTAGGGTTCCTGCTGTGTGGCATTGGATATCGGACCAGCTTGTTGAGTTGTCTAGATACTACCAGCCACTTTTAATAATTTCACTAGTTAGCACCGGGGACTCTTGAAGCAGCAGCTACCATTAGCATTCTAGTTGCCCGAAGCTGGCTGGCCCCGCTAAGAACTCTCCTTGAGTACACATCGGCTAGTTAAGGTTTAACTGCCAGCATGGAGCGCAGTAGCTGGAGTGGCAGTGAGAGTCCAGGGGAGGATATGGACAGACTGAGTGACTCAGGAGGGGACAAGACCATGGATGGGGACCCTGAGGGGGTCTGGAGCCCTGACATCGAGCAGAGCTTCCAGGAGGCCCTGGCTATTTACCCGCCCTGTGGAAGGAGGAAGATCATACTGTCAGATGAAGGAAAGATGTACGGTGAGTGATGGGAAGTGGAGAGAAGCTGGGTGTAAACTGCATTCTGAAGAGATGAAGCTTCACTTTCTAAATTGCCAGGAAACAGTGGACAGTGACCATAATGGCATGTTCAGATTAGTGGTTTTGCTCAACCACCTCTTTAACCAAACATAATCAGTTTAAATGCAATAAAACGAAGAAAGCATCCAATTTTCACATTGGAGCAGCTTAAAGTTTGATGTGATGTATGTGGGGGAGTGTTTACTTGTATTCCATACAGAAGGAGGAAGATTCCAGACGCTTGTCTGTGTATTTATGTAGTGATTAACCATATTTAAAGAGTGTAAATAATGTCGTAAACACATCCAGTGATTGGCTGAGCTGTTGAAATGTTCACTGTGGAGTGTCAGACTGTGAGAATTACTGAGTAGATGGCTGTGTATGAAGGGTGTCTCACTGGGCACTGTCAGAGATATAGGAAAGAAAGAGACTGTAAAAGAGAGGAAATATAGGCGCACCATAGGTGCATCAAGTGTATGTGTGTGTGTGTGTGTGTGTGTGTGTGTGTGTGAGTGTATAAGTGTGGCTCTGAAAGGGGACTGTGTGTGTGTGTGTGAACTAATAGAGTGACGAACAGATGGTCCTCTGGCTGCCACCAGCTGCGCCTCCCTCCCTTTCTCTTTCACCCTGTCGTCTTTATTCTTTTTCCCTCTCTCTCTCTCTCTCTCTCTCTCTATGCAGAGTGCACTCTAGTGATTTCTTTATTATACTACTTGAGGTCTTGGCTTCTGAGTAATACGTTAAATCCCACATATGTGATTTTTTTTCTCCTGTGGACACGAACTCTTGCCTGTTGTCTTAATAGATTTAAATAAACACTACAGGGCCAAAAGTACAGTATATGGACATCCAAAATTTCAACCGTATGTGATTGCTGAACATCTCTCATTCAATTTCAGTAGCAGGATTGGTTGTTGATACTGATCCCTCTATTCAGTTTGATTTAGATTCTATTTTTATTCGATTTACATAAATGAATGCCAGTGTTGCATCTTGGGAATCTTGGGAACTTCCATTTTTCCTTCATTCAACAAGTGAACAACAGTGATGTTTCCTGGATGTTATACATTATACATGTTTACATTATAGACTAAGTTGTGAATACATTTCTTGTTTCCAGTGTTGTGGACCAAGGATTTATTTTCTTTTGCAAATGCAAAAACTACACCATGAGATAGGTACCTGTACAAAACAGCTGAGCAGCAATTTAAAAAACCTGCATCACTGAAAGAGAGACAGTGAGCAAACACAAATATTGATCTTGGGATTTTTAAGAATCAATAATTGGATTGTTCAAACAAAAATCACAATTAAATACAGAACCAATATTTTTATCCAGCCTTACTCAGTAACATTAGTAAAGTTGGACACTGAATTCAGGAGGCCTGGTGTGCATGGAGGCATTTGGAAACTGGAAAGGAAGGTTCTTCCAAAAATTGTTGAAAAGTTGAACCAAACTGTCTGTAATAGCAGTGTCCACTGTAGCATTAACTTTGTTCTTAAATGGAACAAAAAGGTCCAAACCAGGAAAAACTTCCCTATACCAACAGTTTACAACAGTATTTTATTTTATGACTACAGGTGTCCACAAACCGTCACCCACATACATTAACATATTTATGGTAGGACACACCACACCACCTGAAATACTGACATGCAAGCAGAAGTTAGACTGATACTAAAACTCCTGTTCCATCTGCTTTGTGTTATTGATCAGTGGCCAATCAATCAGTCTCATCCTGTTCTCTGCCTTGGTGGTATGTTTGTTTACCTTGTTGACTGTGTCCAGGTTGTTGACGTGTATATCACGGTGACCTAATTGGGTTAGACGGTATCTGTTTTCAGGGAAGCCAAAATGGTGAGAGGGGATGAGCAGTGTTTTCTGCAAAGACCAGGGGCTTTTAATCGTTTCTAGAACATCTGCGCCCACTAGAATTATGAAACAGTATCTAGTTTGTTCTTCTTTTTGGCTCATGATGCACACACAAGTACAGGTTCACATTTTTATTCATGCAGGCAATTTCATTTGACTTTTTTTTTTTTTTTTTTTAGAAAAAAGCACAGTGATGTTTTTTTACTTACAGAAAAGCAACATACTGTATGCACTATATCTCAGGGTTACTTTAAATTCAGCCAAAGTGTCTTTAATGGTGGCTTTGTGGTTTCCTTGAGCATTACATTGAGGTAAAATGAGTGGCAGGTGAGTAGCCCTGTAAAATAAGAGGTAATATCTGATTTAGGTCTAAAAATACCCCCCACTGACTACAGGGAATTGGACTGAAATAGAAAAGAAGAAGGAAAATGTGCAAAAGTGCCAGGATGAACTTAGAAGTGTAGAAAAATCATAAATGGATGTGTATAAAATGGAAAGAGAATGAAAAGGTGAATAATAGCACTATTATCTTTAACAAAGGTACAGCAGAAGTACACGGTAATGACCAGTGGCTTTGTCCCCTACAGACACTTCATATGGCTCTACTGGACCAAATATGAAAGTCATTGAATTGGTACAGAGCTTTCTCTGTCTCTTAAACTGTGAATGGCAATGGAGTATGTGTAGGCTGGAGCAAATTTTGAGACTGCAAATCTTCTCAAAAATCTTCAGTCTGTGTTTTATTGAAGTATTTTGGTTTCAATGAAAATGTATTTGCAGCTAACTGGAGGTGTGGCACCACATCCTTCATCAGAGCTGACAGTCCTTTTGGCTTCCAGTCTGCATTACAAAAGCAGCTCAGTTACAGCTCAGAATACTACTAGACTAAAGACGAAGGTTGATGGAACTGATGCAGAAAGAAGAAAGACATTCTCTTAGGTTGGGATGTGGAGTAATGTGGAACTCCACCAGGTTTATACATCAAAGTCTACTGACAAGTCTTGGGGAGCACTACTGAGTATGTGAAAACTTGTATACAGTAAATCCTAATGTGGCTCCAGAGGGAGCTGCATGAAGTCTGATAAATGGCCTCAGGTTCCATGTCTGCTAGTGCTGAAGACTTTGTTTGAAAATGAAACAATACAGGGATGAGCAGCAGACCTCTGTGGCCCACTTCTCATCTCAGCTTCAGACCACATTAGGCTTGAGGACACATTAGCTGTTACTAGCACCTGAGTCTCTGACCAAATGTGATGAGCTGCATGGTGAGTAATGTGTAGGTTTTCACAAGGAAGAAGACTGTGGATGAAAAAGACTATTTCTCTGGTTTGGCTGCAACTTTCACTGCGTTTACACACATGCTACCAGGGGACAGTCATCTTTGTCCTAAGCTCATTTGTTAAGTGTCATATAAACGAGAAACCTGCTTCCGGTTGAGGTAATTGAGGTAGGGGATGAGACAAACCTGATTTCTCTATGAGAACTCTGATTTCTCTGCCATATAAACACGTATACTCGAGTTTCTAATCAACTGTTTACTAACATAAGAGCGGCTGATTGAGAAAAGAGCGTCCTTGTAATTAAAATAGGTTCTTCTAATGTCTGACAAAAACTGCAGCAAAGTGGCCTGTAGATGTCAAAATGAGTTTGGTTTTCTATCACTGTACATTTAAGATCAGTGAGCCGTGCTTCCAAAAGGAGTCGGATGCTGTGGAGAAACTGGTTACTGAGTTGCTGTATTCATGGATTTTCAGTAATCAGGTTACTACAGTGCATGTGTGCGTGTTCCCATGTAGCCTCTAGATAACCCAGTTACTTAAAGGCACGTGAAGTGATGACTGTAGGTTTGACAGTGTCACAGGAGTGCAATGTGAAATTGGTGGAGTACTCAACACAGTTTTCACTTCACATCACTATGGTGGCAATGCACCGTCCACATTTTTATTTTAATTAAGCCTCAGTACTTTTTGAATGCTTACTAAAATCAAGTAACAATAAAGTGTCTAAAGCTAAAATCAAACATCCTGCTTAGTTTTTTTCTGATTAGAGTATAACCTATTCAAGCAGTGGCATCAAGCAGCCTAGCATATTTTGTTAACCCTGCACGGTTGGTATTTATTTATTTATTTAACCGTTTAGGAGTGGTACAGCAAACACAACTTTGACATTATCACTTTATAAAGCAGTTATGGTTGATGAGATGAGTGAGACTGAACCAAAACCAGTAAAGAGGACAAAGTAATAGTCACAGAAAAGAAAAGCTACCAGGTAAAGTGAGGAGAAAAGCTAAGTCCAAAGCCTTTATTTAGTCACACATTCACAGGGTCTTCATAAGGGTGGTGATAATAAGAACAGATGTACTATATAGACAATTTACAGGGGGGTAAACATGATGCCATTACACAGTTGGCAGCTTATTTCTAATAAATGATTGACTAATTGTGTGGGTAGGAGCAAGCGTACCTGAAAAGACAAAGAAAAGAGCACTGAACAAATGAACTGAGTTCTCAAAGCTTTGCCTATAAAAACACTTCAATTCTCCTGCAGATGTTCTAACAGACACAGATGTGTGGCCTGCATTACTGAGGCCAGGCTGTGGGCCAGAGTTCGGCCCCTGTGTCCAGGGTTCACAACATTACACACAGCCCACTGCAGCCTTGTTAGCGAGTGTGGTCAGTGAGGCTTTGACCTTACTCTGAAAGGGTTTTCCAGCTACTCTATAAAGCAGCTCAAGCTCTTAATCACTTCACTAACTGAACATGGCGAGAGACACCGAGCTACTGCAGTTCTTTTAGACGGCAGGAAATCAAACAAAAACTCTCCAGGTAGTTGCAGATCAACTGAAAATGATTTGATGTTTTGGTTCTAGTGTGGTGCTTTGTAAAGAGTCCTGCATTTCCATCACTTTATCAGAATCTGAGAATTTCCATATCTTGTCATTTCATTTGGACCTCATAAAGAGTCAAGTCAAGTCAAAAATCTTTATTGCCATTATGCATAGCACAATGAATTTTTCTTCCGGCAGCTCTCAGTTTAAAAGACACATTATTTACATAACACAAAATTGTATAGGTGACTCACTTTCTGATTTGTAATTTGATGATATCTTCACGACCCTGGCTCTTCTCAAATCTTTACTGAATGATCCAAAATCATTAAACTAATTTGTAAATTGTGCATTGTCTCCTTAAATATCAGCTTAAAGAGCGGGGGGTAGGGTACTTTTGTTCGTCACAGTTAATGACCATCTGACTTTGGCCTTCAAGTCTTTCACTGGGCAAGTAGAGAGAGAGAGAGAAAAGAAGAAGAAGAAGAAGCAAGGGCAGGCAGAAGGGAAGCCCATTCACTACAAGAGGGACAGAGGAGGGGGAAAAGGAAACAGCCAGAACAGAGGATGGATGGACGGGCAAAGACAGGGAGCGAAAAGGAGGGAGGGATGTGTGTGCGTGTGCGAGTTTGTGTGCTGAGTTTTTGAGAAAGAGGGCGGGCAAGAGTGAGGGATGTGTGCCGCAGGGTTAGTGAGGGATGATAATTCACCGTTAAGCCTCCTAGAAAGACCAGCTGGCCCCTCTGGAGTCAGATGTCAGCCAGGACCCACTCTGTCTGTGTGTGTGTGTGTTGGCACTCATGCATGTGTGTACATGTATGTGTGTGTATTGGCGTGGGTGCTGTTTTCAGTCACAGTTTTTAACTGCTAGAAGGAAAACACCTGCATGGGGAGCTGTAGATTTTATCAGTCTAAGCTCTCTATCTCAGTGAGAGTGGGACTGGTCAGAATACACACACACACACACACACACACATGCACACACCATCTGCTAGTTAGTTAGGGCTATTGTTGTGAGCCATTTGGGTAGTGTGTAGAGGTTTGGATTTGTGCTGATCTTGACCATCAGTTGGCCAGCTGGCCTGACTTTGGTTTTCCACTTGGTTGGAACAGAAAATAGGCCAGGAGACAAACCAAACTCAGCCACAGAGCCACACATGTGCTTGTTAGCAAATAAAATAAGAATTGAGTTACACAGTTTGGCAAACTATAATCGAATCAACTGCCATCTTTGAATTTTTAAGGCTCTAGCCATGACATGGTTAAACTTAGGAGGCCTCTGCAATGAAGCACTGTTAATCTGTTAACTAATCTGTGTATTATATGGTCACACACACACACACACACACACACACACACACACACACACACACACACTTCTCTGTCAGATTTTCTGATTCTTTTCTCTCTCTGTCTCCCTCTCCCTCACTAATCTATACTAGCCAGGTCATGCTGAGTCTGCTGTGCTCCCCATTGAATAGGTTGAATTATTCAGGATTGTAAGCATGCACGTCTCTCTGTGGGTGCATGTACGTGCACACATAAGCACGGGTGCAGCTGGCCTGCTGGTTCCTTTAATCAGGAGACGGCCGATCTGCATGAATGCCTGTATTGTTGGGTCATGTGTATTCAGGGCCGTAGCGTGTGTGATTTCATGTGCGTTAGTCGTGTTGGTGTGGAGGGCTCAACAGGGATATCGGTGATTACAGTACTACTATGTGTAACTGCAAGTCACAGGGTCGCTGGATCAACAGCACTAAACCAGGTACTAAATAGTTTGTCAGGGTCATATGATTTCTGCTTGTGATTGTGTGTGAGAAAGAAAGATAATACAAATAGAATTGTGTGTGTGTGTGTGTGTTGGAGAGAAAACAGCATGCATAATGTTTTAACAGTATGTTTCATGTTTTTACCCTTCAGGTCGAAATGAGCTAATCGCTAGATACATCAAGCTCCGAACAGGCAAGACGCGGACAAGGAAACAGGTAATAATGGGAGTGTGCAATCATACAGTGTGTCACACCAAACAGTCACGATGAGGGAAATGCTGCTAACTGCAGTGATGAAGAGAATGGATGAAATTCTGAGCTGTACTGGTCAAAGACAACACATGTATTCATTTGAAATGTAGATCTGCACATTTATGTTCATGTTTTCTGTACTGGGAAACGCATTGACTTGCCAAAGACAGTTCAATGTATTCAATTCAAGAAAGTTGGTCAACTGATATTATTTGACAGGGTCCCCTATTTGTTTTTGAAAATTTCAGCAGTTGTCACTTGTTGCCATTAGGGGTCACCGTCAATGGGGCTCACTTTTTAAAAATTGGGTGGCTAAAGATTTATTTGGGTGAGTTGTGTTGCACCTTTAGGGCCAATATTTACGTTTACATTTAAGTACAGTGTGATAGAAAACAGCTTCCTCTCATCCAGTGTCTGTGAGCTTTTCAAGGGAAGCGTGTCAGACATATGGGAGGTGTAGACATGAGGCAAAGACACCGCACAAGGTACTTTAAGCTCTTTGGTGCCTGATTGCCACATTTTGTGTCAAAAATCACAGAGTCAGCTGCTCTCTTCTAATGTCATCTTTTCATGTTTTTAGCTTTGATATCTGCAGTTTACTTCAGCTCTTTCTGTACTGCTGTTACAGCCATGTCCAACTGGTGACCACAAGGTTCCTGGGCTCACAGGAAGTGGTGTTCATTAAAGGTGGTTAACAGCAGAAATACTACAAAATAAATAGCAACAGAATTTGACCACATATGGACCACATGACATACTGTCACCTAAGGTTTTATTCCAAGCCTGGATATTTAATTTGTACTTATCTGCATTCGTACACATGTAATTGTGATAGTGAGTAAGGTTTTCCTGCTTCTGGATCAGATCTCTGATCTCCACAGGGAGCCCTCCTTCCTTACTTCTGCAGTAGAAAACAACCACATCAGACTTTTGGTGCTACTAGAAAGTGTCAAAGATAACAATGTATTCCCTCTGCTAACGGGCTACTGTTAGCAGCTACACTACTCTTAACACATTAGCGACCATATGAGCAGAGAAAACTACATATTACATTGCTGTCCAAATAGACACACTGTCACCGAGTGACAATGGCATCGGTGACAGACTCCTTTCAGACTGCTCAGTGCTGGGTCTGCTAATGGAACCTTACCCCAGCTGCTAGTTCAGAAATTCATTCCTAGGGTTGTAGACTATAGTCTGGTGTCATGGTTCACTGACACATAGCAGATGTAGTTTGAAAATATGAGAAGGCTTTTGTTCTTTTTAAAAGTAAAAAAAAAGTACAGCTTACGCTGTGAAATACATTTAAATATTGATGTATTAATAATATAATACATACATTTAAATATTTTTTATAGCACATAAAGTGGCACCATCTGTACAGTAAGCAGTGTAATCTTAGTATCTCAGTTCCTGTTCTCAATACATTTAAATATTGATTTATTAATATTATAATACATACATTTAAATATTTTTTATAGCACATAAAGTGGCACCATCTGTACAGTAAGCAGTGTAATCTTAGTATCTCAGTTCCTGTTCTCAGGTGTCTTTTCCCTCTTGTAGAAGATGCATAGATGGGTCTATTCACTGTTGTCAGGGGAGTATTGTGTGTGTGTGTGTGTGTGTGTGTGTGTGTGTGTGCCCTTCCACTGTGGCAACAGTCCTTTCATAACCATGGAAACTCACTGTTTGGTCCTTCCTCCTGTTTTCTACCCTCCAACCCCCCTTCCTGTTGCCCTCTCCTCTCCCCTCCTCTCCCCTCCCCTCCTCTCCTCTCCTCTCCTCACCTCTCCTCTCCCCTCCCCTCCCCTTCCCTC